AATGAATAAATAAGATGTCATTAACACAGCAGTAGGCCCAGGCTATAACTAAACAATGGACACGCCATGCAGTTATGTCTTACATACTTGGCTTTGAAATGACGACTCTGGTTCAGTTTTGTTGAATTCCTATTTCCAGACTCCGCACTCCTTTGCTTGTCTATGAGGATGTAGAGACTGTGAAGAGAGAACGGGGGACTGAGAAACAACAAGGGAAAAGCAGAAGTGCAAAATGCTAACCGGTGTCTTATTTTACGAGTAATATCTTTGACAGCCCATGTTGCTCATATGCAGAGGAATTTGGCTGAAAGTCTTTTCTCCTCAGTGCATCTCTCCATCAGTATTTTCTAACTGTATCTTTGGGAAATATAAACATGCAAAACAAGTCCATCTAAACAACACCATGCAGCTCTGTGTGTCTTCATAGCTCCAAATTAGGTTAACTTAGTGTGTGCACAGTAACCTTATTGCCATCTGTCAAACAGATTATTTAATAGCCAAATCTAGAAATGAACACACACACACACAACACACAAAATACAGCACTTACTTTCTTGCTATGTCAAAATAAAAGCAATACGAAAACAACTTCTCATCATTAAGTTTTTTTTATGCTTTATGTGTAATAATGGCCATAACTCCTAGTAGTTAATAGCCCTACTTTATGATAACCTCTTGAAGTTAAGCTAAAAGTCTGCGCATAAATCACATTTTGACTAAAGAAATATGCATTAAAATCAGTCATTTAATCAAATCAAATTTGATTATTGATCACATATAAACAGATATGAAAGAAACTCCTTAGCTCACTCTGGATGTGCATGAAGTGTTCTGAAGTCTGCCACATATAAAATAACACATTTATGCTTTTCACCTGTCTCTTGGTGTGATTTCCTGCTGCCTCGGCGTAAAGACAAAGGTACACGTCTTTGCTTCAGAGGATGTCCAACACCATCTGGGTTTACAGCTGTGTCATTCAGAAAACCACAGTTTGTGTCCCCATCGGAGCTTTTATTCTGCCCGTGAGTTTCGTTTTGAGTCATTGTAACGGGACATGTTATGCTTTGTATGTTTTTTAAACTTTCTGTTTTGGGGTTGTTTCACCAGCTATTTACTTTTGCTTTCAGAGTTAGTCATTTGAGCTGTTTGCAAAGGTCAAGGCATGTAAGGGCTTAGAAACGTGACACTGAAAACAAATGTTGACTTTTCAGATTAAAGATATTTTCACTTGGACTATTCCACCAGGCTCCTCTCACAGTGGTACATCCCATCTTCCCAATATAGAAAAGTCACGTGTTTTCTGAGAAATTTTGTTGAAATGTCCTTAATTTATGGTTGACCATAAAACGACAACGATGCATATTAAGTAGAAAACCTTGAATCAATAAATAAGTGAGTATAAAAGTTTGTTATGGTTTTTTTTCTCATTAGATTTACTCAGTTATTGCTTTTGGTTTTTTCTTTTGTAGATGGAGTGACTGAGCAAATGGGCTGGGTGGGACTCTCCTTTACAGATATGATCCAGACCAGTTGGAGGCAGAATATCATACAATTAAAACAACAACAACAACACCAACAAAACAAACAAAAACAAAAAAAATTCTAAATTTTTAATATTGATTTAATGAAATGAATAAACCTGTGATTTTAATGCAAAGCTGCCTCTTGTTATTTACATGTTAGAATCCTAATGTTTAATGGTAAGGTTAAAAAGGTTAAAAATATTTAAAACAGCATCATCACAACATTCATCCTGCCCATACATAAAGAAGCACAATAGTTTAAAGTGTTATTAGTAATTTGCTGTGTATCAGCAGAAATACCATTGAAGTCTTACTGCACTTTAGCAGTGACCTCGCTGCTGTTTCAGTATTGTGTTAGGGTACAAATATGATCAAGGATCAATGTCAGACTTCAACATATATATTCAGTTAAATTCAGTGATGGGAATAACAGCTTTATAAGTAACGGTGTTACTAATGGTGTTACTTTTTTCAGTAACAAGTAATCTAACTAATTACTATCATTACAATGCCATTACCGTTACTAACAAGAAACTTGATCACTTCAAGATGACAAAGCAACAAGGTGTTATATACCAGTTTTTAAATTGTGTTGATAGGCCACGTAAAACCAGAGTCATGATAAACAGTATATACGCGGCGTTTTTTCCTAAATACTTTCATAACGTTTACTTTCTAAGGACAGCGCTACACTCAGAAAAATTATGGTTCTTAAATGGTTCTTCAGATGTCTTCATGGTTCTTTAAAGAACCATCATACGTCAAAGAACCTTTTTATTTTGTGGATGGTTCTTCAGCTATTACAAATGGTTCTTTAAAGAACAAAAGGTTCTTCATCCTTAGCAATCTAAGTTTGATGGTGTAAATGGCATAAATATTTATGCACTATAACGAGGCTGTGAATTATACTGTGTGTTTTCTTTGTGTGCATGTGTGTGCGAAGGGGGAGGGCGGATTACCTGGCAATTACCCTTTAAGAGAAAATGGTAGGAAACTGAATATTCAAATAAAAGTTAGAAATATTTGCTTAAAAATATACTGGTGGCAGGGGTGGGGGCCAAAGCCTAAAGACCCTAACCCCCCCCCCCACACACACACACACACACACACACCTAATCCCACAAACCCATTATGAATATGGTGAGTTAACAAACAGTAGACACAATACACACATTCAAATACTGTACTTTAGTTTTAAATTTTAATAAAGCATTACTATTTTCTACTCCAAGGCATTACTTTTGAGATTATTATATATTTTTGAAAATATAGTATAATGATAATACTAGTTATTGTAAACTTTACAAACCACCCAGCAGTATGTAAAGTCAAATTATAAAATAACAATTAAATAATATCATTTCATATCATTTCATTCTTTTCAAAGGTTTATTTGCATGACGCACAAACAGACACAATTGAAAGGTACAAATGTGCATGACACGAATTCAAACGTGGTGCAGATGTGTGTCACAGGTTGATCTGGCTGTAGGCTGTGGCACTTGGCCAGAGGTGGCGCTGGTTGACTCGACTCCATGTTAGTGCACAAAGTAAACAGCACGCTGTAGTTGTGAAGCAAAAACGCTGAATTCGGAGGAATAAACCGTGCGAGGGGAACGATAACGACGACAAGAGTCTCCCGATCGTTTATTCTTTGTGTCCTGTGAACAACAACGGCGTGGTGTTACTTGTTTGCTGTTTTCGCGATCGCGTCGCGCATGAGGATATCACCAGGTAAACTCGCCACATTTTTAAACATTTTGTTGTTCAACAGCATCAAGACTGACGGAGTGTGTTTGAGACAACCTCACAAGTGTCACAGGTGACACATTTGGCGTTTTTTTGGTGGTTTGTCGGTAGCAGCTCCTGAAACGCAAGTCTGCCACACATCTGTTCGACCAACGCCAGTTGATCTAAACGCCAGTAGATCTGGAACACCGGTCCAAGCCCGGGTAAAGGAGCAGGGTTGGAATTGTGACATTAAAAAAAACAATAATTGCTAAAAGAAATTTAATTTGTAGTTCTAAATAAACTCTAAATGCATTTAGGACGTTTTTTACTCACTTTAAGTCTCTTCCACGATGTTATTTCGCTCTCCAACAACATAGGTTACAATTAGATTAGCATGACCAATTATGCAAATTAGGCGATGACGTCAGTTAGCGACTTCTAGCGACTTTTAGGACAACCAATAGCGATTTTCCTTACTGAGGAGTTGGCAACACTGCCCCCACCACACTTCCATCCCATCATCGGTTTCTCCGTCTTTCTGGCCCTGTCCCACTACATCCCGGAAATCGGAATACGCCCTAGTTCAATAATTCTGATTTAATCAAAAAACGCACCATGAATTCACGTCGTCGTGCTCCAGATTAAGTTTAAAGTCGGATTCCAGTTTTTCCCTCTCGGAATTTTAATTTGAAATGGTCCCTCAATAGAGATTTGCACCTCACAAACGTCGGAGCAGCTTCACAATCCCAGAGTTAACCATTCAGAACACTGATAGCTTTTCAGCATGAACGCCCACACTAAACGAAGAGCAACGTTTAAGCTAACTTTCACTACAGAATTTTAAAGGGTTACTGTTATTTAAAAAATAATTGCTTCAGCCGCTATATAAGGCAGCATGTTAGCCTGTGATATCATGGTTTCTGTGTTCCTCGTATTTGGTAAGTCAAACAGCAGCTCCATGTTTGCAACACGTCTTTTATGTAAAGCTAACCTTAGCTTAGCTTGTAGCCTGTGTGGAGGATGCTTATCACTGCGTCCTAATCCTGTGCTTGCCTGCAGCATGTCGCGCTGCCTCCGTGGTTTCTGCGGTGTCTTGTCACACAAAGGAGTATGCAACAAGGGATGGGCAGTGCTGTCCGATGTGCCAAGAAGGTACGATAAGAAAACATTTCTAGAAGTAAACCCGCCCACATTATGTGAGTTCCCACTGTGAGAACAAAGAGTAAATAAAGAGCCGTCTATCTTATTTCATGTTACAGCTGCTTCTTTTATCTCACAATTCTTTAAGTTAATAAACCAGAAAATCTGCTGACTCTTTTTTTTTTTTTAATCATTTTTTCCCCTGAAACTGTCAGCTAACCTTCATTAATAGTTAGAATTGACACAGTTCAGATAATAGCTTTCAGGAAACATCACAAGTATTGTAAATAAATTGTAACTGTTTGTCTGAGGGGGCAGCACACAAACAAGTTATTAAGTTGCACGTTCAGATGAGATAAACCTTTTTTTCATACCTTCCGTCCACCTCGACTCAGTTCATCTTACACATACTGAAACGTCATTTCATATGATCAGATGTGTTGAGCATGTGCCTCTACAGCACTGCTGGCACAGGGTGAAGTAATGCAAGGCTTTGTGGCACACTATAACCATTTCAAATGTACCAGAGCTGTAGAGGTTTAAAAACAACTTGATCCCCATATTCACAGTTCAATTCACATGTTATTTATATAGCGCCAAATCACAACTACAGTCGCCTCAAGGCAGTTTATACTGTAAGGTAGACCCTACAGTAATACACACAAGAGACACCCAATGACCTCTTTTGGTATTGTCACATCTTGAAACTGCTACTGTGTGAAAAATAATGATGCACACAAGGATTGTACAGTTCTAAACAAGGCAATTTCTTATACCCATCTATTAGTACCTGAAAAAAGTTTATTCTTTTCATCTGCACGTACATTTGAATCAGTGATATAACATTTCTCTATCTATCAACAATTAGTTCTTCATAATGCCCAAAAGATGACTAGGTAAGCTACTAGTCTGTGTTATCTTGTTGTTGTAATAATTATGTGAAATATGCAGATGGTTCACAGAGCAGAGGCTCCTCCACTATCAGAAAAAGTTGTAAGTGGTGCATACTATTATCTGCTCCACAGCACTCATCCACACAGGCTTGTATTTTGCAATAATTGCGCACACCAATTGTTCTTGAAATATAAAAAATTTAGTAATATATAGTAGGAGTACAGAGGAAACTATTATATTCTGGCAGTTATTTTGCCAGTACCAGCTGGTGGTTGCTTAGTAACTTTACACAGTCTATTGTGGTGTTTAAAGTTTTCTAAAATGTGTGTCTAAAAAGATTCACCCCAGATTTAATACACTGTGCATTCACTGTGCGTTTGTGTTCTTGACCTTTAATGTGGCTTTAATGTTCACATAAATGTTGTGCTGTGTTGAACAGGTACAGTTGTTCAGAGAGACTGCACAGCATATTCAGGAACTCGGTGCCGTTCCTGTGACCTGGGGACTTTCATGAACCAACTCAATGGTCTATCTAACTGTTTCCCCTGCACTACCTGTGATACAGGTACAGATGGAAACTTCTTAGTCAAATTTTAATTTAAAAAATAAAAAGGTTTTCAAATTCCACCGATATTTTTTTTTTTAGGTCATGGTCTCTTTGTCAAGCGGAACTGTACAGCAAAAACTGACACAGTGTGTGACGTTTTAAATGGATATTACTGCAAAGGTTTGATCGACAGTAATGGATGTAGTTTGGCAGAGAAACATTCACAGTGTGAAGCTGGTCAGAAGATAAAAGAATCTGGTAAGAAAAGTTTTTTAGATGAGCTGATAAAGTAGGATTTTATTTTGTGTAACAACGAATGTGTTTCTTTCAGGAACCAGCAGAAGTGACACAGTGTGTGAAGACTGTCAGCCAGGCTTCTTTTCCAAGGACGGTGTGAAGTGCACTGCTTGGAAAACGTAGGTCATAATTTATAACAAAATCACTCTAAGTTTATTTTATTTTCAGTTATTGATCATCAATGTCTTAATGGAATCTCTCATATACTTCGCACTAGGGCTGTGCCACATCATATCATCTGCAATAATATCGGTATTACACTATACACTGTGTGTCGTTATAGCAAGAATATGTGTTTGTATCCTAGTGTTTATGACAAGTAGTCAAAACCATGCATGTCTGAATGTAAGAGCAGTGTGCAACTAAAAATGGAGCTACTTCAGCAGCTTCCAGTGAACACAGGACGAAAACATGCAGGAAAACTGTTTGGAAAAAAGTGAAAACAACAAACTGGTAGAAGAGGGTAAAAACATACCTTTGAGTAGAACGAGACACATGGGACATGAGCAGTCACTCGCTGCACTCGCTAGTTATCCTCTATATAACAGGAGGAGCAAACAGTGGATGGAAATTAGTGATGCAGTTACATGATGGAAAAGCAGAACTTTAAGCATACACTTTAAGCATAGACTGACCAAGGCAGAAAATATTTTTTATGTTTCTATTTTTTAATATTAATATATGACAATATTGTGCAGCTCCTAACATTTTACAAGAGTAAGGTCATTTAGTTATTGTCAAAGTCAAGTTTTAAAATTTATTTTATACTTTGACTTGAAAATTCCAGGGAAAATACTACCTAGGCTACTTTTGTGCTTACATTTTCTTTCATTAGATTCACATTTCAGTTTAAGTAGTCTGACATTGGTGAGACTAGCTCTCTGGAAAAGAAGGATGCTTCATCTACTTACAGTTATTAATGCTGCTGCCTGTGAGCATTTAAAAAACATACAGTATTTTTTTCTATATCTTCATATCTCAGTTGTCATATATTACTCACCTCCACACAGGACTTTGGGAATTGCCCTCCTTTAGCAACCTGAGGACCAGTGATTCAGCTCATTGAACAGAAAATTAGCCAACTTTTATTTTAAAAATGTTGTAATGGTACAAGAAAAACTTTGAATTTGTTTAAAATAAAGTGACAGATGACAGCACAGTTGAGGCATCAGTTAATCCTGATGGCCACATTCAAACACATAAACATGAGCTCTGCTTTATCACAAACATCTTGTTTTTAGACAAGACACAAGATGCTTGTCAGCAGGAATACTAACTGGAGCCCATATAGAATGCACTTTACAGATATTAATACACTGTTACATTTTTATGTCAGGCTCATAAAATAAAATAATAATTAACTTAGAACTTAAAAGTTAGAACTACTGATGTAATATTCAGACTTGCAAAATTACTTCAGTTTTTCATCAACATTTGACAGGATATCAAAATATTATAACAATTTACATAAAATTATTATCTTGGAAATTCTCTGTGGTCCTGCTCCTTCACGTGGATTAATTTGGATTTTCTTTCTCTTTCACCTCTTCTTTTACAACAGTTGCTCAAACCAACAGATAAAGGTCAAAGGAAGCTCGACCAGTGACGTTGTCTGTGGGAGAACATCAAGTCAACATTACTTTGTGTTTTTACCTTTTTTGCTTTGCTCAGTAGCATTTACTAGCCTTGTGACAGGTTAGTGCACAGGGCTCGCAAAATCGCTAGCCCGACGTCCCGGGGCTAGTGATGTTTCCAGTCGGGCTACCAAAATCTATCTCAGCTCTGCCCGTCGGGCTATCATAGGAAGTAAAAATATATGACAATGCCTTTGCTTTCTTTCGCTAATTAGCTGAGTCCTCATCAAAGAACAGTGCTCTTTAATGAATGCAGCACATAACTTTACATCGTAGAGGTAACAGGGAGACATATCGAGTTATCAGATAGCCGTCTTAACTATATTCTAACTCTACAATTTCCCGACTGCACTTTCCTCTTATTTCACGACACCACCCTCTAGTGGTGCAATATGGTATAGTCAGACAGGACACAACATCACTCACTAGCTTACTCTTCAAACGTGGCACGTGAAATCTCCCGCAGCAAGCTTAAACGTGCTAGAGGTTGACTGCGCAGAGAATTTAAAAAAAAAATCTCTGGCATGTGTAAAGACAGATGGATTTACGCAGGTATTTTAGTTCTGCTGAGCCAAAAAAGACAGGTCAGGATGAAGAAGGGACAGGCAAAGAAAGGCCTACCACAAAGCGGAAAAGTTATGATAAATCAGATTACGAGGCAAAAAGAAAGCACAGTTTTTTGGATTCATGGACAAAAGAATTTCTGTGGCTGGAATATGACAAGGTAAATAACATGATGTTCTGCCTGGTGTGTCGTGAGTTTCCCTCTATTGCTGAGTCGACAAGCGCCTTTGTTACTGGGACCAGTAATTTTAGGAAAGACCCCATCAGAACTCATGAGAAATCTCTGCATCACAAGAAATGCATTGGTGCTCAGTCTGCAGCATCTGTCCCAGAACAAACACCAATTGCAAAAACCATACTAAAAATAAACCAAGCACAACAAGAAGTCCTGAAAAAGCTGTTTAGAACTGCGTACTATGTTGCAAAGAGTGAACTACCACTGGCAAAATTTAGCAGTCTTTGCAAACTTCAGAAAGCAAATGGCCTAGATCTTGGTTCCACTTACCTCAATGACCATGCTTGCAGAGAGTTTATTGGAGCAATAGCACAAACTTCAAGAGACCAGATTGAAAAGGAAATTCAAGAAAGCAGGTTCTTATCCATTCTTGCAGATTGGCAGTACAGACACTGGTATAATAGAACAGGAGTTGGTTCACGTCAGGTATGTGAGGGATAATGGTGACATAGCCACATACATGATCAAATGTCAGCCAGTCAAGAGTGCAAATGCTGCAGGTATTTTAGAGGCTATTGATGAAACAGTGAACACCATGGGTATCAGAGAGGACACATGGAAAAAGAAAGTAGTGTGTGCAAATTTTGATGGTGCTGCAGTGATGATAGGTGAGAAAACAGGAGTAGCTGGGAGACTGAAACAGAGGATACCCCACATCATAACAATCCACTGTGTGGCACACAAACTAGAGCTAGCCGTGCTGGATAGCGTGAAAGGCTGTGAGTACCTGGTGAAATTTGAAGATACACTGAAAACCATCTTTAAGATCTACTACTATTCCCCAAAGAAGCGAAGAGAGCTGACAGAAATAAGTGAACTGCTAAATGAGAGGCTGGCACATTTCAGTGGGCTGAAGAGCACACGGTGGCTTCCAAGCCGGCTGAGATGTCTAAAGGCTGTGGAAAAAAATTACACTCCCACTGTTGTTCATATGGAGAACATGGCAGAAGGAAGTGATGTCAAAGCCGAGGATGCAGCCAAGGCTAAGGGGGTGGTGCAGGAGATGAAGACTGAGAAATTTGTTCGCTTCCTGCATTTCATGTTGGACTACAGTACCATCTTATCCAAGTGCTCTACTGATTTTCAGCATGATAACCTAAACATCACACAAACAAATCAGTTAGTTGAGAGCACAACATCACGCTTACTCAGCCTAAAAACAAAACCAGGAGAATATCAGAAAACCTTGGACACAAAGTTCACAGCGAACCAGGATGGTAGCATTTGCTACTGTGGAACTCAGCTAACAAAAAGTCAGCGACCTGCTAGAAGAGGTGAGGGAACAGACAAAGACACCTTTGGTGCAGAGATCCAGAAGATTATTGACAACACAGTCAAGTACATGGACAACAGATTTAAAAATCTCCATGAAAAACCTCTCTCTTGTTTCAAGGTTTTTGACCCTTCCACTCTTCCCTACCCCAGAGAAGAACTAGCAAATTATGGGGATGAAGAGGTGGATTATCTTGTCACACATTTTGCCTGTTTGCTAGATGCAGAAGAGAAAGGGAAAATTCCACAAGAATGGATGGATCTAAAAGTGTGGCTTGGAGAACACCGGGGTCGCAAAGTAGATTGCTTGTACAGAGATCTCCTCTCTGAGAATCCAGAACATCTCTCTCATATCTTGTTGCTGGTGAAATTAATGCTGACACTTAGTCCATCGACAGCCATCTGTGAGAGAGGATTTTCTTGCATGAACCGAGTGAAGACAACACATCGTACCTCTCTACACCCTGAAACACTGAATGACTGCATGCAACTCTCCATTAATGGGGAAACAGTTGAATCTTTTTGCCCTGACAAGTCGATTCGTTTCTGGATGTTTTCTGGAAAAGGTTCAAGACACCTGGATCATAAAACCCCGACAAGAACAAAGAGCAGTGAAATGGAGGGCAATGCACAGGAAGAGAAAGCTGATGAAGGAGATGCTATGCCCTCAACGTCGAGTGGCATTTTCTCATCCGAGACTTCAGTGGAAATTTCAGATTCAGGATCTGACACAGACTAATTCATGTTCTACACAGTTCTAACAAGTTCACAGAAAATTCTGTTTAATTAGAACCAGATATTTGAGTTGATTGTAATGTTTACACAGTTGTTGTAATTTGTGTTTTAACAATTTTTTGATTGATGTTTTGTTTCCTTTACAATATTATACAATAAAAATTATCTTTTTTTATTCGGGCTACTCAAATTTATTTCAGGCTACCAAAAACTAAAGAGTGCCTGCCCAAAGGGCTACCAGGGATTTTAAAATTTTGCGAGCCCTGGTGCATCGTCTGCATTGTGTTGATTTTTCAGTTTAAAGCCTTAACAACACAGTGTTGCCTTTTTATTATTGCTTAGGGTTTTTTTTCCTGCTGTAACACTAATTTTCTTTGTGTACCAATAAAGCAAAGAAGAAGAAGGAAGGGAAAAAAATGACTTTTTAAAAAGAAAATTGAACTCACTAAACATTAGCAGTTTATTTATATCATTAATAGACTTTTAGCTGGGAAGGCCAGAAGACCCAGCATTGACAACTGAACAGGTGCTTTTGGATCACGGTGTTGTTCCAAAAGGTGATTTCTGGTGTTTCTGTATGTTTTTTGTTTTGTTTTTAATGCGTAATGTCTTTGCTTGTATTGGTAAGTAGTTGCAATTTCTGCCTCTTGGCCCAACATCTCTTTAAAAAGACTTTTTTTAATGTCTATGAGGCTTTTTAACTGAATCCATGAAGCACATATAAAAGTCACTTTGTCATAAACTGATTGCAGCTTCTACCTTGTGGGAAAAAATGTTGTTTGTAATTCAGAATAACTCGATATCATTCATAACAGAAACGTCTGACATACTTTTTACACATTTTAGGCCAACAGGTCATTAATGACGGTTTAAATGGGGGCAATCACTTTTTGGAAAATACTGGAAATCACTTTTCTGGCACCACAGCTAATTATAGAAAACATGTGTCCAAAGTCAGATATTCACTAAAAGTGTAATTTAGTCACAAAGGACTTAGATGTAGAGTATCACATTAAACATTGCAGAAATGTAATGTATCCTCTGTACTGTGTGTGCTGAGGGGCTTTGGTCTGAAGGAGTTCATGTACAGCAACATCAGATAAAGTCTGTGGAGGGACTTTACTGAATCTGAAGGTGTCCACTGCATGAAGACACAGAAACACAGGAGCTGTAAACCAGGACACATGAGTCAGAGCGGTTGATTTTCTTGCTACAAGACAAAGTACTAAAATGAGCGTAATATGTAATATAAATATAAATAATATACAATTCTGTTCAGTCTTGTATAAAGTTTTTAAAATCAAACTAACAGATTTGATGGCTGTTATGATGTATTTGGTTGATGCTGAAACTGTGGAACATACCTTAATTAATGTTTCATAAACTCTGAATATGGTGTTAATTTGAAGTAAAATGGTAACTAACTAGTGACCTGCTGGTTCACTTTTCATTCACGGCCCTTTAAGTCACAGCTTACAGGCAAACAGCTCAAAGCAAACCTGATGTAAAGAAGCAAAGACTGTGGGAGAAGCAGTTGGAAAAGAAGAACTGCAATAAGAGTAAAAGTTACAGTGAAAACAAGCTGGATGAAATAATCTGTTGGCCAAGTTCAGTGTTCTGTCCAATAGAAGCTGATTCGCCTTCTGTGGTGTGATTTTAACCTGAAGCTGCACTCGCTCATTCTTTCACAGCTTAAGAAAAACAAAGAAATGCTTTTAGATGTTTCAGACTTTTTTTTATATCAGAATGAAATAATGACTCAGATGAGGTCATAACAGACACTCCTTCAGATGACCTGTAAGTATAAAACTGTGTATATTTGTGGTTTTGCAGGAACAGCCTCCACAGACAGTGGATGCTCTGACTGCAGCAGTGGAACATTAACACCTTGTCACTCACGCACTAAGTAAGTGACACTTCAGAGCAGACATGGACACGTGATTTCTTCCAGTGCAACAACTTTTTCATTTTCCCCCCTCTGTACCTTCCAGATGTGAGTCACTAAACCACATGATAACTCCAGGGCTTATGCTCAATGTTGGAAACAAAGGGGAAAAAATTGTTACCATCACTGGCTGTGTGGTGGTTTTAGTTATGATTGCCATAGCTGTAGTGATTTTAATTATTGTCATTTTTAAAAGATGTATCTATGTGAGGATGTCAAAGATCACTGATATCATGATTTAGATTATATTTCCTGTCAAGTAATAACTTTTTTAGACAAAAATAAAACTCAAAACAATATAGGAAATGAAAGTATTTATATTTTTTTTATTTTATTTCTGAGAAGGAAAGAAAAGAAAATGAAGCACTGAATGGGTCAAAGGAGCAGACAAGACAACAGTGAAATGTTCACTGTGGACTCTGATCTTTTTTAAAAAGCAGCTAAAAACTCAACTTTTTAAACTTGTATTTGGGTAAAGTTTTGTTTTAATGTCTTAGAATTTTGTAATGAAGCACTTTGCGATATTTAGAGACGATCAGATTTTTACTGCAGCATTATGGAACAAAGAATAGCAGTTTCTAATGTTTTTATCTTTCATATACAGATTTTCCTTGGAACTGGTTGTGGATGTTTGTGTAGATGAAAGTTCATAGTCAACACGTTCTCAGTCCCAAAGTGTAACATTTTACGTTGCCATAGTTATCCTTGTAATGTATTTATGGGGAATATTTCATAAAAAAGGTTGACTGCACAGAGACAATAAAGAAAACCTTCAACAAACTTGTGTAAAGCAGACTGTAGTTCTTCAGATTCATGGACACTAAAAAGTTTGCATCTTTTTATAAAGTTAAGGAGCCAACATGTTAGTTGGTATCACAGACAGCTGGTTTTATTTTATTTCCTGCACTCTCACATCTCCAGTTTCACAGCCTTGCACTTCCGGCCTTCTCGGTCTTCGAATGACCCGGCCCACGTAGACCGCGAAGGGCGGTGTCTGTCGGGGATACCTACTTTGGCACGACACCAGGTCCTGCAAGGATGCGGTTGAGGGTTTGGGACACAGCTATTAGGTCCTACGATTTCCTTCAAGCCCTCTCCCCCTTTTTTGTCTTTGTCTAAACGAAGTTGATCACCATCTGCCCTCAAACGTCATAAAATGGCTTGTTTTCGGTTTCTGTTTTAAGCCACGAAAACCGTTGATGCTCATTCTTTCCAACAATGAATAGATTTCCTGTTTACACCCACATCAAAACCCAAAAGCGATCATTGCTGTTAGATTTATATAGAAGTTTGGTGAAATAGAGCCTACAAATGTGTTATAAGGCAGCGTGTTAGGATGTGATATCATGGTTTCTGCGTTGTTTGTCTGGTTTCTGGTGTTTGTGTATGTATGTGTAATGTCTTTGTTTATATTGGAAGGTAGACTGCAGTCAAAACGATTTATCAGTTGTATATAAAATAAAGAAATTACCTGTTTTGCAAATATCTTTATGACTGCATTATTGTACCCAAATTATAATCAGTCTGGTTGTTGCCCACTTAAATGTCTAAAATACTATTATGTTATATTTGTTGCAATTTCTATTAGCCTCGTGATCCAACGTCTCTTTAAAAAGACATTTTTAATGTTTATGAGGTTTTTTAATTGGATCCATAAAGCCAGCATGGTTGATTCTCTTATATAAGACATACCAGAGTACCAGATTGATACAAACATGTAATGTAATTATAAATATTCATAAATCATATACAATTCTGTTCAGTCTTGTATAAAGTTTTTAAAATCAAACTAACAGATTTGATGGCTGCTATGATGTATTTGGTTGATGCTGAAACTGTGGAACATACCTTAATTAATGTTTCACAAACTCTGAATATTGTGTTAATTTGAAGTAAAATTGTAACTAACTAGTGACCTGCTGGTTCACTTTTCATTCACGGCCCTTTAAGTCACAGCTTACAGGCAAACAGCTCAAAGCAAACCTGATGTAAAGAAGCAAAGACTGTGGGAGAAGCATTTGGAAAAGAAGAACTGCAATAAGAGTAAAAGTTACAGTGAAAACAAGCTGGATGAAATAATCTGTTGGCCAAGTTCAGTGTTCTGTCCAATGGAAGCTGATTCGCCTTCTGTGTGTGATTTTAACCTGAAGCTGCACTCGGCCATTAAAGAGTGATTAAATTTGGAATCTAAAAGCAATGTGAGGATATATATATATATATATATATATATATATATATATGTTTTTATCTTTGCTATACACATTTTCTGTGGAATTCGTTGTAGATGTTTGTGTAGATACAAGTTCATATTTATCTTTGTAATGTATTTATGGGGAATATTTTATAAACAGGTTGACTGAATAGAGACAATAAAGAAAACCTTCAACAAACTTGTGTACAGCAGACGTGCAGTAGTTCTTCATCAGATTCACGGACACGTTTTCTAAAAAGTTTACATCATTTTAAAAAGTTAACACGTTAGTTGGTATCACAGACAGCTGGTTTTATTTCATTTCTTGCATCCTCACATTTCCAAGATTCAGTGTAAGTGAAGCACTGCCGTGTTGATCATTATGAGGTCACAAATTATTTGAGTCTACATACAAAGAAGATTAATCAAATGGTAGAGGAGACTGTGAGGATGAAGACAGGGAGACATCAGGATGTCCTGAAAGATAACGTAGCTGTTGAAACTGCTGGTTTTCTCCAATCACTGCTTTGTACTGATGCTGCTTAATAATACCAGTGAAGAGGTGACTGTCAATTCTATATAAAGACTCTCACTTGTTTTTTGTTTGTTTGTTTTTACTTGTCTTATCTATTTATACTTGAAGTAATGATAGTACTGAACTGTTTTATACTTCTTGTGCTCTTTTATCCAATCCATCACTGGATTTTCAACTCTTTGCAGTGAATACACCACGACGTCTCATCATCTGGCGATTACGTTTCACCAAACTAATCCCTCTTAAATAATTACTCTTAAAACCTAAATATTATTAATTAATGGTAACCATCTACGTGGCTATAAATTATTTACTTTTTATTTCACAGTGGCAAATACGAATCCAGGTACAGGTTCAAATAAAAATCTCAGCTTCATTATTCATTAGTAAAATCTTCGGCTACGAATACTTCCGCGATCCTCAGTCTGTCTCGTGTTACTCGTAAATATTCATCGGGTTCAGGAGTAAAACAATCGCTGGAATGTGTACAAATTAAACATTAAATCCTACGATTCCCTTCATCTTCCTTCAAACTCTCTCTGTTTTATTGTCTCTGTCTAAACGAAGATGAGCCTTGTAAAAGATAAGTAAAATATCTTCAGTTTGTCGACAAAAGTCACGAGAATCGTCAGTGTGGGATGGACTTTGGCTCTTTCTTCCCCAAGTTTTCTTCCTGTTACGCCCACATCACAACCGAAAGCTTAACGCATTTTAGCGGTTTCTGTTAGATTTGTATAGTACATTAGTGAAATAAAGCCTATAAATGTATTACAGAGCAGCGTGTTAGGATGTGATATCATGCTGTCTGTGTTACTTATCTTCGGTAAGTACTGCAACATTTTCGTGTATACGACACAGCCTTTAGCTTAAGCTAACCCTTAGCTTAGGTTGTGTGCTAACCGAGCTATTTGTCTGTCCATCCATCCATCTTCATCCGCTTTATCCGAGGCCGGGTCGCGGGGGCAGCAGCCTAAGCAAAGAGGCCCAGACCTCCCTCTCCCCAGCCACCTCCTCCAGCTCATCCGGGGGACTACCAAGGCGTTCCCAGGCCAGCCGAGAGATATAATCTCTCCAGCGTGTCCTGGGTCTGCCCCGGGGCCTCCTCCCGGTGGGACATGCCTGAAACACCTCACCCAGGAGGCGCCCAAGGGGCATCCTTGTCAGATGCCCGAACCACCTCAGCTGGCTCCTTTCGATTTGTCTATCCCAGGATATTAATATTCTTGTGTTTTCCTGTAGGATATGCCGCCGTCTTCATGGTGCCCGTGTTATCGTGTCAACCAAAGGAGTATAAAACAAATGGTGGACAGTGCTGCCCGACGTGCAACAAAGGTAGGAAGAAAAGCGATGACTGCAAATGTGCACAAACCTCCAAAGCAGGTACTTTATAGAAGAAGGAACCCCCCCTCCCTGAAAAGTAAATGAGTTTTACTAAAATCGCTGAGCTTGACCAGAGGCGGAGCCAGACATTTGAAACACCCGGGGCTTAGCCCTAAAGGGTAGTATGCATGTGGGATTTTTTTTTTTTGGGGGGGGCGGTTAGAAATGACTGAAAGATTAATTGGCTCTGTTTTGAGTTTTGTTCAAAGAAGAATGACTTCATATAGGGAAAAGTATATATCACATATGCAGGACACCTTAAACTAGTTTTTTAATTAAGCAGGAAGGCAGAACAAAGTCGGGGCTGTATCAAGACACGAGGAGTAAACCCCAATTCAACCAGACCCAGAACTGATCCGGAATTAAAACAGGACTACAACAGTTCAAAATCAGGACTACTGAGGACTTAACCAAGACAGAACCAGAATCAGAACTAGATGATAGTAGCACTAAAAATCATCATAGACCTGCACTACACTTATTTTTTTAATTCTGCCAAAGTCCACTATTTAGATTGAGAAAAGTTTATGTAATTATTTAGCCTTGTTGTGCAAACAAGCCTGCATAACTTAATAAATGTAGAATTTGAAAAATAGCAAACCTAAAAAGAAACACTAGGTACAAGATACATGAGTACCTATGATACGGTGATACTTTTGGTAAACAACCATTTGACTAACATGTGTGTCTCACCTGCTCTTGTTCCACCTCTGTTCTGTCCTCATTCTCCATCTCCCTCTCTGTGCCTCGCTCTCCCTCCTTGTGCTGACAATCATCAAATATACAGTTGAAACCAGATATTTACACACTCTTCAGATAAAAACACAAACACTTTTTTAATTGTAACATCAAATCAGACTAAATTTTTATTTTTTTAGATTGATAGATATATTATTTATCAATAATAGGCACTTGTTGATTCACTTGAACAGCAAGTAATGTAATATGGGTCAAGTGATCAGTTTGATATCAATCTTTCGTGATACACCGTCATATTTTCATTATTTGTACAGTACGAATGATTTGCTTTGATACCTGGTCAAACTTAAGCTCTCCTTAGTATGGCTGGCTCCGTTTCTCCAACAGCGCACTCACAGGCAGCAGCTGCCCCGCCCTCTCGCTCAGTCGCTTAGTGCCTGAGCTCGGATCATACCAATATCAGGGGGGATTCACGCACAGTCGTAAATTCCCACAGTGTGCACTATGTGCTTCGAATATTGTGTGTACTTTTTGTTTTATACAGTTGTCAGCCAGGCATCTAACTATGAAAAAATTACACTCCAAAAGACCCCGGGCTTCTGACAAAACAACCCGGGCTTAAGCCCAGTAAGCCACCCCCACGCTCCACCCCTGAGCTCGACTAAAATATAGGTATTTTTTAGTTGTTAATTATCTGACCAGTCGCTGTGATTTTGATGACAGAGATCTGCTACTTCATCTTGCTCTGCTCTGCTTACTGAGAAACCTATCAATGGGTCATTTATATACTAACAGTGATTGGATGTTTAGCTGGGGTGAGGGGGGTTTTCTGCTGAGTTTTGTGTGAGCCTGTGCAAAACGGGAGCACGAAGGGAAAGAGTGAACAAGAGGTGAAACCATGACATTTGTGCCTTGTCCAGTGCATTTTTCAGATGCTGTAGTAAATCTTGTCCATATTCAGTTTGTGGGTAATCTATTTTTTTTCTTTCTCAGTTTCTGAAAGTTTGATTTAATGGGGCAGGACCTTTGTTTAAGGGGGCGTTGCCCCCTCTTGCCCCAGTGTCGAGCAGCCCCGTCTATTATTAGATATTTTATGTTGCATTCAGGTAATTAATATTGACTTCCTGCATCTCAGTTAAATTTAAAAGAAGAAATATGTGTTTTATTATTTTTATTATTATTTATCACAAGCAGTAAAATGAAGCACAAGTTGCATCACCAGCAATGGGAGACAATATATGTAAAGGCAAGAAGTCGGTAGTGACCAAGAAACCTATGAAGTACATTCCATGGTTCTTAAAACAATTAAGAAGGATTTACATGTAAATGTGTTAATAATGTCTGTTTAAACATGATTATTTTCATGTTACTTGAAATAAAATATCTCCCTCTGCTGTTACTGCAGCTTCTGCATAAGTGTCCATTTCACGCTTTGGAGAGGTAAAGCATGAAAGGGACACAGTGGACCGATGTGTCTGTTACACGTTTTGCCGTGATACTGGATCAGGAAACTGGGCCACATTGAATTTGTAGATCTGTAATGTTGTAGCTGCTTGACTTACTGTATATAACACCCAACACTACAACTGCACAACTGTAGATTCACTCTGTGTTAAATGCTAAAAGTCTGACATAAATGTTGTGTTCTGTTGAACAGGTAGAGTTGTTCAGAGAGACTGCACAGCATTTTCAGGAACTCAGTGCCGTTCTTGTGAGATGGGGACCTTTATGAACCAACCCAACGGCCTGTATAACTGTTTCCCCTGCACTGCCTGTGACACAGGTACAGTCAGATGAGAAATCCTTTGTCAAATTTAGATTGAAAAAAAATAAAGCTTTCATTTAAAAGTAAATTACAGAAACATCATTTTACACTAATGTTTTTTGTTTTGTTTTTTTTAGGTCATGGTCTCTTTGTCAAGCAGAACTGTACAGCAACAACTGACACAGTGTGTGATGTTTTAAATGGATATTACTGCAAAGGTTTGATAGACAGTAACGGATGTAGTTTGGCAGAGAAACATTCACAGTGTGAAGCTGGTCAGAGGATAAAAGAACCTGGTAAGAAAATTTAAAGTCTAAGACCATTTTTAAGATGAGCTGATAAACTGTGATTTTAAGTTTTTTGTTTTTTTTTCTGGATTGTGTGTAACAACGAATGTGTTTCTTTCAGGAACCAGCAGAAGTGACACAGTGTGTGAAGACTGTCAGCCAGGCTTTTTTTCCAAGGACGGTGTGAACTGCACAGGTTGGAAAACGTAGGTCATAATTTATATTCAAATCCCTCTAAAGGTGTATTATATATTCAGCTATTGATCATCAATGTCTTAATGGAATCTCCAATATCCTGGGCTGTGTCACATCACATTGCCTGCAGTAATACCAACATAAATTTCCATGTGATTTAGTGTCATACCAGAATATCATTGCTATAGCAACACCATGTGGGCATGTTCTCTTGTTTGTATATACAGTCGTATATTATCAATTACAGTGGGGCAAAAAAGTATTTAGTCAGCCACCGATTGTGCAAGTTCCCCCACTTAAAATGATGACAGAGGTCAGTAATTTGCACCAGAGGTACACTTCAACTGTGAGAGACAGAATGTGGAAAAAAAATCCATGAATTCACATGGTAGGATTTGTAAAGAATTTATTCGTAAATTAGGGTGGAAAATAAGTATTTGGTCACCTCAAACATGGAAAATCTCTGGCTCTCACAGACCTGTAACGTCTTCTGTAAGAAGCTTTTCTGTCCCCCACTCGTTACCTGTATGAATGGCACCTGTTTGAACTCATCATCTATATAAAAGACACCTGTCCACAGCCTCAAACAGTCAGACTCCAAACTCCGCCATGGCCAAGACCAAAGAGCTTTCGAAGGACACCAGGAAAAGTATTGTAGACCTGCACCAGACTGGGAAGAGTGAATCTACAATAGGCAAGCAGCTTGGTGTGAAAAAATCCACTGTGGGAGCAATCATCAGAAAATGGAAGACATACAAGACCACTGATAATCTCCCTCGATCTGGGGCTCCACGCAAGATCTCATCCCGTGGGGTCAAAATGATCATGAGAACGGTGAGCAAAGATCCCAGAACCACACGGGGGACCTGGTGAATGACCTGCAGAGAGCTGGGACCAAAGTAACAAAGGTCACCATCAGTAACACACTACAACGGCAGGGAATCAAATCCCGCAGTGCCAGACGTGTTCCGCTGCTGAAGCCAGTGCATGTCCAGGCCCGTCTGAAGTTTGCCAGAGAGCACATGGATGATACAGCAGAGGATTGGGAGAATGTCATGTGGTCAGATGAAACCAAAGTAGAACTTTTTGGTATAAACTCAACTCGTCGTGTTTGGAGGAAGAAGAATACTGAGTTGCATCCCAAGAACACCATACCTACTGTGAAGCATGGGGCGGAAACATCATGCTATGGGGCTGTTTTTCTGCCAAGGGGACAGGACGACTGATCCGTGTTAAGGACAGAATGAATGGGGCCATGTATCGTGAGATTTTGAGCCAAAACCTCCTTCCATCAGTGAGAACTTTGAAGATGAAACGAGGCTGGGTCTTCCAACATGACAATGATCCAAAACACACCGCCCGGGCAACAAAGGAGTGGCTCCGTAAGAAGCATTTGAAAGTCCTGGAGTGGCCTAGCCAGTCTCCAGACCTCAACCCCATAGAAAATCTGTGGTGGGAGTTGAAAGTCCGTGTTGCTCGGCGACAGCCCCAAAACATCACTGCTCTCAAGAAGATCTGCATGGAGGAATGGGCCAAAATACCAGCTACTGTGTGTGCAAACCTGGTAAAGACCTATAGTAAACGTTTGACCTCTGTTATTGCCAACAAAGGTTATGTTACAAAGTATTGAGTTGTATTTTTGTTATTGACCAAATACTTATTTTCCACCCTGATTTACGAATAAATTCTTTACAAATCCTACCATGTGGATTCATGGATTTTTTTTTCACATTCTGTCTCTCACAGTTGAAGTGTACCTCTGGTGCAAATTACTGACCTCTGTCATCATTTTAAGTGGGGGAACTTGCACAATCGGTGGCTGACTAAATACTTTTTTGCCCCACTGTATTAATTACCAATAATAATGTGGTGTCTCAGTAACTATGTACTGATGATAATCATGATTTTAATAATATAATATCTATAGTGTGAAAGTCACATAGTGACAAATAATTGTCTAATTATTTGTTTTACACAGTCTTGCTACATTTAGTTTAATTATTTTGCCACAAAGACAAAATAAAGGTTAAAAAACTTTGACTGTTGACTGTGTTTCTATAGATATTGCAATAATGATTATTTACGTGATTGGTGTGAAAATTGAATTATGACATGCCAATAAAATGTTAGTAAAATGATGAGTACTGGGTAATCGCAGATAGAGTACTGGGTAGTTACAGGTAACTAGATATTAAAGTGGAACCAGCTACATTCCAGGACATGTTTGTCCTGCATATCTGAGCCACAGACAGACGACAGGACAGTTAAACAGTTAATATTGATGGTCACATTGTTACAAAGATCTTTACAGTGCAAACACAAATAAACACTGATAATAATGATTTATTTATATTTTATTTCTTTTTTGCCACAGTTGCTCTGAGAGCCAGATTAAAGTTGAAGAAGGAAACTCAACCAGTGACGTTGTCTGTAGAAGCGCATCAAGACATCGTTACTTTTTTATTTCATCTGTTGTGCTTTTCCTAATAATAGTAATTTGCCTTGTGACAACAGGATTTGTGAAAGCAAGGTAAGTGCCATCTAACCAGTGTCAAATCTGCTCCCTCTGCACAGCACCTACAGTCACTAACATGTTAATAACTCTGTTTTTTCAGGAAACCAGATAAGAGCAGAAAATAATTGCTCGGGGACTACCGATGATGCCTGAGAAAGCGGACCTCATGTTCGCCATCTCTCCTCCATTTTGCTAGCAGGATTGATGTCCTGACATCGATGATGGCTTCACCTGGTTCGGGACTCACTGTCCAACGTGCCACTTACACAGATGTGCACAGCTGTTTAATCAAAGTGATGCTGCAGTCATATGTTGAGGGTGCTGACCAGCCATCACCAATTTCTCTGCTCGATGCTCGCTCCACAAACCACTTATTCTAAATGATCTCTTCATCAAGGAGTCTCCAGACTTCATGCTCCTGACTGAGACATCACAGCAGGACATGGATCATGTTTATTTTGAGGAGATCTGCACAGCTGGCATTTCCGTCATTGTAACTGGGTGTCTTTGGGGATGTGGCAGAGGACTTTCTGCTGTGTACCAGTGTTCCCTTATTATCACAATAAGGGCACACCTTCGCTCACAATAAAAGAAAGAAAAACCAAAGTTCACAGAGGGTAAGTTCTCACACACATACACACAAAGGCCCGCTGCCCAAAACTCTACAGCTCACAGCTCTGGCAACATGGGGAAAATGGCAGGAGGTGTGGCAGTTTAGGATGGCAGCCTATATGCCGTGGCTGACGAGCTGGAACACACCTCAGCTGCGGCTCATGAGGCAGACCTGCAACACAAGAAAAAAGGAGAAAAACAACTCTTCGACAGAGGGAGAGCCACTAGAGGTCAGCGACCGTAACAACCAGCACAGACTCACATGCAGGCTGATGAAGTCAGACTCTATTTCTTCATTTAAGTTACAGATGATTAGGGTCGGTTCTTTGAAAACCTTTTATTGTATTTCAGTCTACCGACCTCCTGGTGTTGCCAGAGCATTTTCAGCTGAATTCGGCGACCTTTCATCATTTATCATTACATTGGGGAAGGTTGTAATACTGAGATATTTTAACCTTCATATCGATGGATCCTGTAACTCAGCTGCTGAGTCTTTGAACTTTAAGCACCATGTTTCTGGCTCCACACATATAAAAGGCCACACGCTGGATCTTGGGTCTTTCTCCCTGGGTTTAAAAACAAACGATGTATGTGTGAAAAATGTACATGTGACAGACCACAGCTGTATATTTTTTAGTCTGTCATTTGTTCTGGATCCTTCACTTCAGAAATTGATGATTCAAAGGTGGATTATAAATCACAATCCTGCTGAGAGGGTCCCTGCCTTTTTTGATGCCAACATTACTCATAGTGAAGTTCACACATTTATTTTGTCCTTTAACAATGAATGTAGGTCTACTTTTGACCCACTAAAAGAAAGAATTGTCCAATATTCAAGTTTTTGTACTTGGAAAAATGAACATATTTATTATTTTAGGAGGTATTTGTACAAGTTGGAACATTTGTGGAAGGCGTCCAAGCTCCAGCTTCATGAGTTACATGTTAAAGAATCAGTTTTATCAAAAAATGCCAGAATAGACTATTTTTCACATCTTATTACTTCAGAAAAGAAAACTACAATTAACAATTTTTTCTCTCACAATCTTCCTCACATACCAGTGTTTTTAAAGTCTGAGTGCATTAAGTTTTTGCACTGTTTTATAATTAAGCTAATGATAAACAGGCTTAAGGACAAGTTTGGGTTTACTGGTGATGTTTTAATATGGCTCATGTCATATCTATCTGGGAGATCTTTTAGTGTTTTTATGAATTCAGTTATCTCTGAAACAACAGTTGTTCCTTCTGGGATACCTCAGGGGTCTGTTTTGGGTCAGATTCCTTGTCTGCTTCATGTGCTCCCTCTGGACCGAAATATTAGAACTCATTCATGCTGTGCAGATTCTGCTAACCGTTTAAAAGAGCTGCAGAACACATTTTTGTTCAAAGCTTGGTATTTTATGTTGTATTATATCTTTATGATATGTTATCCTTTTCTTTCTTGTATAATTGTGAGGCAGTTTATTTGTAAAAAGTTACAAAATGTAAATAAATTTTACTTACTCTCCTCTCTACTACACACGATACTGTGTCCTTGTTTTACAAGAAGAATTGAAGAAGATCAACTGTAAAGTACTAACATAAGTAAGGTATTAGTTTTCAGACTCCTTCAAATTTACAGTTCAGATTAAAGAAAACTTGTAATGACTTTGTCTAATCCCAAACTTCTTCCTTGCTTTGCTTACTGTGCATTTAAAAATCAGCCTTTATGATGACTTTAGAGGACGTGGAGGTGTCAGTCCATCCGTTTTTTGTTTTTTTTTGTTTGTTTGGTTTTTGCTGTTCTGTTTGTTTTGAAGCCCTGACACAATATACATGATTTCCTGCACATGCCTCACGCTAACTACATGTATTATACTGTGGAGTCCAAGTGTTCAGAGATATTTATGGTGAACTACATCAAGACTTCACCATTAATTTTAGGTCCTTTTTATTCTTCTCGAGAAAGCACCTCATTGGTCCCGTATTCATTTTACAACAAGAGAAGCTCAAATATAAACATAAGAGTCACAAACAACTACAACCACAATTCCATACAAGATGTTCAAAATATAAATAAAAACAATGCAATGATATTTACCTGTTGCTATGTAACCTGATGAGATGCTAAATGTTCCTCCAGCTGTTTCTGTTTGTTGCTACTTATTTCTTCAGCCTTCTGTTGCGCTAATCGCAATATTTTTCAGAGCTCTTGTTGTCATTGAAATTTTTTTTCTTAAAATATATATAAAATATGGGTTTATGAGATACAAAAATAGTGTATTTAACATTCATAGTTCAAAACAGTAGTCATATAATGTATGAGCACTGTTTCTGAACTATAAAAGCTGAATTTATAACCAAATTAACAGTTTATCTGTGTTCTGTTGCTCCTCGTTGGTCATCACTGCCCTGCCTCTCCTGCTCTTGGCTGTGGGAGCTCTGTCTGGTTCCTCCATCTTCCCCCTGCTGGGGTGGAGGCACAGTTGTGATAGCGATGTGTGGCCTTGGGTTTTCAGCACTCATGGGGGACCCTGGATGGCCGGAGTCTCCTGGTTCTTTCTTCTCTGCCTCTGGCTCTCCCTGTTTTCTCTTTCAGGCACTGCGTATAAGTGTGCTTTGCTACAGATGCAGCAATTGGAGACCAGCATGTCTGCTTGTTTCATCCCCCACCCCACTTCTTTTCTCTTTCTTTCTCTCCCTTTTTTTTGTCTGTTCCTCTTTTTCCTTCTATCTATTGCCAACCTGGCCTTCTCCTCCTGTCTGCTCCAGCATAATATCCACACAGATAATATAAAAATAATGAATAAATACAATAAAAATATTAATAAAAGGAGCCTACAGAGAGTCCATAGTGCTTCTCTTGGAAAAGCGAATGTGTTTTGCACAACAAAGCAATCAGATCATGATTCTACAAACTACAAGTGTTTCATATGGCAGGTGTTTAAAAAAGATAATGTGCTGATCTGAATTTCCTTTAATACAAATACAACCAATAATTATAAATCATATAACAAACATAAATGCACCTATATTAGCCCAGTTTTTTCATATTTCACAAATGTTTGATTTTTTAGTGTAATCATGAACCTTAAAAAACCCCACATGCATCAATGCAACAGATTAAAAAAGAAATCACTGAAACACTGAAAATGTTGCAGCTTCAATCCTCTTCCTCGGTCATCTCCATGGATACATCATGTTTGTTACCTGTGGGCAGAGTTAAGAAATCAGGATGGAGAACTGAAGTGGATGATTGGCGTATGTGTTGAAATCTAGATAAGAGAGTGTACCTCATTTCCTGCTGCAGCAGATCAACAGCAGCAGGATGGTAGAGATGAAGTATGGACAGAAAACCAGCAGGTGGCAGAAGAGTCTTAGTACAGACACAGAGGGTGAACGAGGACGAAGAGAGGAAGAGGCCGAAGGCTCAGTATTACCAGAGGGCGAGGGCGAGGGTGAGGGTGAGGGTGAAGGAGTGTACATTATGGTTGTGTGAGGGGGAGGAGGAGGCTCTGCAAGAGACATGATGAAGATGGTTCAGTTTATTATCAGGTCAGCAGTTTAGTTTATGCTTGTGAATGAATGCTTTTCTTATTTTAAGTTTCTCACTTCCTGGAGTAAAGAGAGAGAGGGATTAGTTTTAGATTTTTTTTGCCCCCGACTCATATCTTTAAAGCAGGAGTGATGTCGCTGCTCTGACCTTTGACCTTCAGCCTGCTTTGAGGAGACTGATGAATAAGAGTAGAACACGAGTAGAGCCCTTCATCAGACTGCTGCACATAATGGAGAATCCATTTTCCTTCAGGTCCTTCTCCAAGTTTGACTTTACCTCTGAAGAAATAAGATTTTTTTGCTGAACCGTTTCTGGGTTTGCAGAGCAGAGTGACATTACTTCCTGTGTTCACTGGAAGCGCTGGGATCTCCAGGATCAACTGTTTTTCTGACCAGCAGAGACAGACAGAGTCATTTAGAGACAGAGGTCCACAAAGCAGAGTCATACAGAGACAGCAAGACAGATGGGAACAGATCGCTTTCTGTACCTGAAACAGCGATGAAGACTTCATCGCTCTTCTGTCCAGATGAGTTTTCACACCAGAAACTTCCACCAGATGAGACGGAGAGATCCAGAACACAGAAGGAATTATTAAACCTTCTAAAGTCTGCAGCTGTACTACAGCCCTCAGTGGATACTCCTCTGGTCCTCTTTACTCTCCATCCATCAGCTGTCTGACCATCATCGACACAACTCAGGGAGACATAACGGTCTCCTTTGAAGAACTGCTGATGGTTTGGGCTGACATACAGAGAGACTGGAGGACAGACAGAAACACAGACGGACTAAATGTATTTGTATTGTTGGTCGAGTGAATAATTTCACTTCCATAAACTCACCGGCAGAAACAGTCGGTGCAGACAGCAGCAGCACACACACACCTGCAACATGAAGACAGTCAATAAAGGTCAAAGGTCAGAGAGAGAGGAGTCTAAGTAAATTTTAGTAGTTATTCAAATTGCTGTGGGTAATAATACAGCTGTGGGATGACTATTCAATTCAGTTACATTTTATTTATATAATACCAAAACAGTCACCTACTGACAGAGAAAACCCCAACGATCATGGTGAGGTTTTCTTCTCGAGTCATCTTTTATCCCCTCGCTTATTTATTCATTAGTTATTATTACTCTCTGGCTCCTCCACAGCATGTTTTTGGTCCCGTCTCCTTCCCCACACTTGCTCATAGACGGTCATCTGATGTTTTCTCAGTATAATTGAAGAACCTTCATCTTACAATGTAAAGCACCTTGATTCTTGTGTTTTGGAGCTGTATACATTAGATTTTATTGAACTGTATTGACATTTAGTTATAATTTCACAAGAATACACTTTGCTGGCACAGTTAAGCCCTGATAACCTGACTGTTTATGTTGTACACATTTTACTAGTTTGAACTGGACATGATCAGAGAAGCACAGCAGTTTAACAGTAGAATAACAGTTTAATAATTCAGTTAAAACTTGTAAGGAAACAGAAATTAGGGTCAAGTTTTTGCATTAGATGTGGGAGTGATCAATGTTAAATGTTTTTTAAATCAGATAAAAAATACTCTGCAGGTTAGTGCAGGATAAACAGGTTGTTTGCTGTACTGTGTGATGGGGCACATTGGCTGTGATGCTCATGGTCTAGTATAAAGTTAGTACGTATGAACAGTATACTTCCAGTGTAGAGGATGGAAACATCTGCTTTCATCTTGATAAATTTAGTTGTGTAAATCCACAAAGAGCAGTAAACCTCAGAGCAGCAGCAGGTCAGCTGATCACAGCCTGTACATTTATAAAATCTACCGAATTCGCAATAGAAATTATTGTAAGTTATGATTCTTTTCTCCACACTAAGACATTTCAACCGATTTTGGGGATTTCCCACCTGCTGTATCTCACTTTAACCCCTGACCGTACACAATTTCTGTTTAGAGGCAAAGTCACCCTCTACAAAGTAGGAACAGAAAACAGAGCAACTTTTTATTTTCATGTTCACCTTAACTGACTCAAGCTGAGAATATTTATTAGAATTAAAATTTAGACTAAAATAAAGTTTGTATTCCCATCTACTAATATTATTTTATTATTACCTTAACATAGCAAGGTTTGGTTAGCTTTGCAGTGTACTGTGTGTACTTTTTCACTTTTACTTGAGTAAAGAAGTTGAATCAGTACTTCAGCTTTTACTAGAATATTTTTTTAATACCAGTATCTGTACTTCTACTTAAGTACAGAATGTCTCTACTTTTGCCACCTCTGGTCACTTTCATAATCTCAAAAATAGATTCATTTTTACTGACTTTTTTCCTTTTTTAGCAGGGGCGTAATTTCCATGGGGGTTAGGGGGGTTATGACCCCCCAATAATCAGACCCAACCAATATAACACCCCCAATAAAATTATGAATTATCTTGCATAAATAGGCTGTTGATTTTCTTTACTCGTTTCAGGTATTACCAGCAAAATAGTTGCATGTTTAATCATCTAGGAATTTACCCAGATTTATGTTCAGCACAAAGTTACGCCGATGTTTTTGAGTGTGCACTGTGGTTTCCATTAGCTTCTGTTGTTTGCTAACATCTTTCTTTATTATTTTTTTCAGTTATCTAAAATGTTTCATATCTAGGTTTAATTAACTGTAAAAAGCTTGATGTTAAAAGTCTTCAGAAAGTCCTGACCCTTGTCTTAGATAAGCTTCTTCCCTGTCGGTGAAACCTTACCAAATCCGATTCACATGTTTTCTGTTTTTTTCCTTAAGGCCAAACTTTCACTTCATTTTTTTCAGACCTTAAATCTTTCCTTGTGACTGTAATGACCAAAGTTACAACATTTGTCTTAACAAAAAACTGTCTTTCGTCTAACTTCTAATACTTAACTGAATTCTTACATAATTTTTCTTATACAAATACAACTAAAACAAACACAAACACAACTTCATATATCCCAACAACAAAGTCGTTTCTTTCACCTTCCCATAACATGCGAGTCCGGTAAAG